TGGGCGGCTAGGTCAGCGACAGTGGGGAAAGACACGAGATGAGGAAAAATCAGGGGCTGGATCAGGCGACCAACGGAGGCAGAGGAGGGGGTGGAATAGCGCGCAATAACAACATCTAGAAACTCCAGTGTGGTCCTGACCGACCTAAAGCGGGGACGCTCAGACAGGGGAAGGGCATGACTGATGGCGAGCTGTGCTACATCGTCATGCGACAGCCAGACCGAACGGGCAAGGGCAGCAGCGGCAGCGGTCTCACGGTCAGCAGACGTGGGGTCAGCAGGCAGCGCAGCAGGGGGTCAGGACAGGGAAGCGTACCGTCAAGGTGGACAGCCAAGGAGTGGCCGTCCCGACGCTGACCAGTGAGGTGACGGTGGAGGTCGATGAGCCACGTGTCAAACCGCAGCACAGATTCCGCCATCAGGAGCGATGCAGAGGCGGTGCAGTGCGGTACAGTGCGGTGCAGTGCGATGCAGTGCGGTGCAGTGGCCGGCTGCACGTGACGGGCAGCTGGGCGTTAGTGCCTGGCGTGGAGAACGGGCCGGCGCGGACCGGAGACGGGGCGGGCACGGGCCGGCGAACGGGACGGGCGCGGCCCAAGTACGGGGCGGGCGCGGGGGCGGCTACGGGACGGGCGCGGGCCGGTTACGGGATGGGCGCGGGTCGGCTACGAGACGAGCGCAGGCCGGTTACAGGACGGGCGCTGGCCAGGGACGGGGCGGGCGCGGGCCGGCTACGTGGCAGGCACGGGGCCGGCAAAGGGACGGGCGCGGGACGGGGACGGGGCGGGCGCGGGCCGGTTAACGGACGGGCGCAGGGCCAGCTAACGGACGGGCGTGGGGGCCGGCTAACGGACGGGCGCAGGGGCCGGCTAACAGACGGGCGCTGGGGCCGGCTAACGGTCGGGCGCGGGGGCCGGCTAACGGACGGGCGCGGGCCGCTACGGGGCGGGCAGCTAGGACCTAGGGCGGAAGCGCTGGTGGGCGAACGGGACCTAACCTACTCATGATACCATGTTAGAATACGAGAATAGCTAGAAAGAGAGAGTACAAGGGAATATAGGCTAGTGTGTTGTACCCTCTAACGCACAAACCTATATAGTCTACAATAACATACTAAGTTATGTTTCACACAAGGATGGATAAGATGATGTTGCAAGAGCGCAGCGGTGGCTATTGGCATGTGCAAGGTTCAATGTCTGAACGAGCAAGAAAGTCACATGTCATGGCTAACACTATCAACCACCCACTTGTGTTTGGACTTTTTAGTTGACTCAGAGGTCGCCACAACGAGAGAATCAAAATAGCCCACTGGCGTTTGCTCATGCTGACGTTTTTTCATGCCACGCTTCACCTTACCACTCCCTCTCTTCATCATCTTGTCCACCATTGCTGCTTGCCCACGCATATCTAAGAGCATATTCCTACGCGATGGTGTTCAGTACCAGCATAGGGAAACCCATTCTTGAACACCGTGCTGTGATTGCCAATTTACAGCACGGTGTTCAGTACCAGTAAACCGTGCTTTGCAAGCGTGGGCTCGGCGACCAAACGTGCGAAAAAAAACAGCCACACGCGCGTTATCGCCAGGCCAAACGAAAAGTGAACTAAGTGCGCACGTTTATGTTCGCTTATGTGGGGCGCTACAGCTTCCCGCTGCACGAAACGAAATGACACGCGGCGTGCATGCGACGCCTGTGGCTCTGTTTGAGAATGTGACCGTACCAAACAGCCAATTACTAGGCTTGTGTGTGAAAATGCAGGTTGGCGGTCCTGGTACTGGAGTCGGCAAGATTTGTCAATCACGGTCAAGTTCCTTTTCACCAGCTCAAGTTCCTGCGCCATGGTCATCACTGGGTGAACGTCCAACATCATCTCATCCATCCTTGCTGTGGCTGCGGCTCGTGCATCCCCACTCCCCACCTCGGCCCGGAGTGCCTCCAGGTGGTGCGCCATGCGGGACATGGAGGGGCGTGAGGCAGTGGGCATGGCGGTGCAGCTGACGGCCAGCTGGGCCAGGCGCAGGATGATGCCGTCAGGTGCTGCCATGAGGGGATCTCCCAGTGATGACTCTTTGCCCTCTGACATGAGCTCGTTTGCCTGTGATATTCGAGGGAGGAGTGGAGAGAGGAGCGCGAAAGGAGCAAGAGGTGGATGGCAGGAAGAGTGAGTCTCCCTAGCAGTGCTAGGAAGACTCACAAGAGAAACCAGAAACCATGGATGGGAAAGAAAACAGAAGAACATAAAAAACGCACACACACACAATCACCAAGTGAGGTGATGTTGAACGCATAGGCTTAGTAGCAGCGTACCCACTGAAGAATCTTGATATACCCAGACTCAGCAGGTGTGTCAGGGCCGGTGCCCTGCTTAGGCTTACTGATTATGGCATTCTGGCCTGAAAGCATCACCAGCATGAGGATGCCAAAGCTGAGCAGAGAGAAAGGCAAGGGGGGAAGAATTAGCAATGTGGTGAACTGGGGAAATGCATAGTGGGACGAAAGGGCAACATGGAGAGGGCACCTGTATACATCAGTAGCGGTGGTGGCATTGCATGTCAAGGAGTAAGCGGGCTCCATGTAGCCCACGGTGCCCAGCACTCTCGTTGAGCGCAAGTGCGTGCCGTCCCCTGCTTGCACCAGCCCAAAGTCCGCCACATTGGGCTGGCGGGACAACAACGAGTGGTGGTAGGGGGGGTGGGGTATGCAGTGCACGACACACATGCAGGGCAAGCATACAACTGATGGACATGAAAGAAGGGGTGGTGTTTCCTTGAAGCCATGCGGCATGCTACCTGGATATGATGGTGCCACGTTGCCTGGATGGTGGGGCCACGCTGTGTGGGCGGTGGGGCCATGCTGCATGGATGGTGCGGCAATGCAGCGTGTACAGTGGATCCTATAAAATCAACCAGACTGGCACTGGCTCACCTCTCACCCCCTCATCCCCCCTCATCCCCCCTTCACCTGCATGTCATCGTCGATGAGGATGTTGGAGGGCTTGATGTGGCGGTGCACCATGCCGAAGCCGTGCAGGCACTCCAGCCCGCTAGCAGTGCCGATGAGAATGTCCAGCCGCTGCTGCAGGGTCAGCACTGCGGGGGCGTCTGGGCAGAGCGTAGGGGAAGTCGGCACAAGCCCTCTCACAGCAGCTTGAAATTTTTTGAGTCGAAACAGTTTTAAGGGTTTGGCGGCACAAAGCAACACCTGCCTACAATCCACAATACCATATTTGGTATTTGTTGACAAATTGTACCTGGGCTCATCCACCTCTCCAGGTCGCCATTGGCAATGAACTCATAGACGAGAACGTTCTCCACCCGCGTGTTCACATTGCCTCCCATGGCAAACCCCAGCAGCCGGAGGAGGTTCGGGTGGTGCTTTGAGGCCATCTGGCCCACCTGCAGTGCAGACAGCCGTGGAAGGTCAGAACAAAACAAGTTGCTATTTTTTAGTCAACTCAAAGAGAATCTCAACAACCGGACAAGATTCGGGTGCTTCGAGGCCACCTGTGCCACCTGTCGACATTTATGGAGGGCAAAACAGATGACGTTTCTCAGTCAGAGGCATGGGGCATTGCGTTTTCTTAATGATATTTCCAGTCTATATTTGTGAAGAAACAATAGAACACACCACACTTCCCCACAACCTCCTCTGAATTCCCCACACACCCCAACTCAATTGGTCCTTTGTATTAGGTAGAGTGGGGTACAGGCATGGCAGCGGACAGCGCACAACAGGTAAGACCTAACAACCCAGGCCAGGGGACCTTAAGGGTCCCCCAGCACTGGCTCTAACACATGCAACAAGTCCCCCACACGGAGGGGAGCCACCGGCTTACCCCAGGGCTGCTCCTCAGCGGCGAGAGCCTCGTTGATCTTCGTGTTGAGGGCCACGGCTTGGCCCCGCTGCAGAGTAACCGACTATCGCTGGCGGTACTCGTGGAACAGCTTTGCGGCCTCCAGGAAGGTGGGAGACGCCGGGTGGTGCTTGTGTGCCGCCAACTCGGCGCACTGCTTGAGAATGCCAGAGACGCCAGGCGAAGATCAGCCATACGTTTCTGCTGCCATCGCAAAAAAGCCAACCCACTCCGTACGGGCCGGGGGGCGGTACTTGTTTTCCTTGCCCCGGGCTGCAACTCAAGCCGCCCAGCCAGTCCCCTTACGAGCCAATGGATCGTCTTGGGAGATGGGATCAGTCAGAGTGACGTCAGACAACCACACCGCCCCCAAGTCCGGGTGGCGGATGGCGACGTCCGCCCAAAGATTGGAGACCCGCGTGAAGAGATTGGTCTCCTTCCGCATAATGAACCCCGCCTCGATGGCTATCCGAGCACATTCATCCCGCAGGGCGTGGTGCGCACCCGTCCTGCCCGGCCCCTTAGTACACCTCAGGAGGTGGTTTGGAAGGCGGGGATCGTCGATGTCGGTACGGTCAGCGCAGTCAGTGGAGTGAGGGAGCCCCAGGCTGAATGCCACGGCGGTGGAGAGAAGTGTTACTTACATTATATATGTTAGTATATAATTGTAAGCTTGGTAGTGGTTACTGAACATTACTGTAGAGGGTACAACACCCCTCTTTCTATCCCTCTCTCTTCTTTCCTGGTACTCTTTCCTGACATTCTCGCCTACCTCCTAGATCTAGATCTCACGCCATTCCCATGGCTCCTCTCATTCCTGCCTAGCCTAACTTAAGACAAGAAGTATCCAGGGCCGAGGCGGAGCGAGGACGAGAAGGGGATGGCGTGCAGCCAGTCGCCTGCCTCCGGGCCCATGAGCGAGAGCAGGCGCTGCGTGTGCCCCTGGAGCGGGTTGAGAGGCATGTGGCGAGGCGAGCCTGGTCCAGCTGGAGCGTAAAACGCTTCTCCTGCACCTGCAGCGCCAGCGCCCGTCACCACCCCCAACAATCAAGACTTGAATTGAATCCACAAATGCACACACCACATACATAATTCATAAACTATACCAAGTCTAGAAACTTTGAGAATCAGGATGCCTCAAAACCAATCTAGGGCCCTGTTCCAGAGCCCCAGCAATTTTCACGCAGCCGCACCATGTCGAAATGATCGCAGCAGATCCACAACCTTCATGTTGGCTGGCCCACAACTCGATATGCACGTGAGGCGATAATAGGATATTATACATGCACTTTTTAGTAAGCTAAGATGTGTTCCGTTTACAAGAAATATAAGACCCCCTATTCCTTCCCTTAATAAGACGAACCTCCAAATTCTTAGGGGGTTATTGGGCAAGACCCATGGGTCTTCTATCCGGGCGAATACGGTACAGAATGCAGCAAGCATCTCATGCAGCAGCAATTAAGTCGACTCCAACCACTGTCCCATCCCTTGGGTGGCCATGCGGTAAGCCCTTGTGAGAGTGACTCACACCACACTCCCGCCCGCCATCTCCTCCCCTGTGGCTGCCAGCTGTGCCCACCTGCCGCCCACCGCCGCCCCTGCTGAGCTGGCAGAGTCTCGCAGGCTGCCGTCCGCCTCGAGCTTTGCCTGCACCTGCTTCGCCATCAACGCAAGACCTGGGAGTTTAGAAAGGAAAGGAAAGGAAAGGAAAGGAAAGGAAAGGTCACATAACGGAGAAAAAAGGGGTTGAAAGTGTCTCACGGACTGCCATCTGCCTCCAGCTTGGCCTGCTTGACCATGAGGGCTACATCTGCAAGGCACAGAAGATGTGGTAAGGAGGTAAAGTGACGACATGTGTCATTTGAATTGGAATGAAAACTGGGAACCCACAAGCCTCTGACTTGGCCTGCACCAGCTTCGCCTGCAGGGCTAGACTTGAAAGAGTATGGTGATGGGGAACCTAGGGGATATGGAGACATCGTGACGTGCTTCTTTGTGTGCTTATTACAAACTGAAGCAGGAAGTGGCAGCAAGAGCTGCTACTGGAAGTGCGCTGCGCGAAGAGCTGCGAGCCGAGGAGGAGGCTTGGGCAAAAGGTGACTGCAGTGCCCTTCCTGGTGAATGGGATAGGCTGCCGGACATGTGCGAGGTGAGGTGGACTGGCGACATGCAACCCCACATTAACTAAGTCTCCATCGCCTCGCGCACGACCATCAGCCTATCTTATTCATCACGAAGCACACTGCAGTTGTCGGAATCTCCTCCTGTCCCCCTCGCCCATTATGCTCTTACCCCCCTTGTCCTGCCTGTGTTGCGTGTAACACCTCTCCCTCTATTCCTCTGCCGTCTCCCCATCTCAGCCACATTAGGAAAGCCCGCTCCTACCACGCTTGTCCCCCCTCAGTGGCCAGTCACCTAGCACAGGGCCTTGGGTAACGTAATTCCACTAAGAAAGAAAGAACAAACAAGACAGAACCAACTCCTCCTCCCAGCTAGCCCCACTAGAAAGGCTCCGCGACGAGCCGCACATTTCCCAATGTGTGTCTACGAGCCGCACATTTCCCAATGTGTGTCTACGAGCCGCGACCCTCACCCTCCTGATTGGCTTGCCGGATTCTCGCCCAATGAACTTCCCTCCAGCTGTCCCTCGGTTTCGCTTCCCAGGTTGCACCCTCATCTACTTCGCGTCAATTCCCCAAGTCCCCGCCCACCTACCTCCCTGCTTGCTTCTAATAACCCTAGTACACCCACCCCTCGACCCACTTCTTTATGATACGACACTATATTACATTCATCCCTTAACTGTCCCATAAAGCATAGTCGTCCCTATGATTTCTGTGACACAGTCAACCTCTACCTGTGTCCGAACCTCCTTCCGAGCCTCCCTCTCAGCTTGCAGCTCCTCGCGAAGCGCACGTTCGGCAGCAGCTCTTGCTGCGACATCCCCCTTCAGTTGGTAACAAGCATACAATAAAGCACACACACACGCACACACATTCCACCCACACACTCACCCTACACCACGCGGTGACAGATGTCCATCACGTCTCTTTAGACGCTTCACAAGCAAGCTTTCTCCTGCCTTGATCCCTCTCTCCTTGTCTCGCTCACCCTCCCTTCTCCCCCCCCTTCCCCCCCTATCTCCCGCTTCCCCTTCCCACACACACTCACCCTGCGCCACGCGGCTGACAGCTGTCCACCACTTCTCCTCTGACAGCTGTCGCCCCGTCAGCGCAGCAGAGATCTCCTCGCTGCGCTGCCCGGATAGCACCGCGTGCAGCACCTGGGTGGCATCCCTTGTCTCTTCTAAAACGCCTCTCTGCAGCGGCAAGAGAAAGAAAGGGGAGAAGAGGGACAGGGAGGTCAGGATTGAAAAAAATGTGAAAAATCTCTTACTAGTAAACAATGTAGAAAATGCCTCTCAAGTAATTTGTTTTTGTCAAGGAACTAATGGAGGAGACGAGGAAACATGGAAAAGGAGAGGAAAAGAGATAGAGGGACCAGAGGAGAAGGATCAAGAGCGAAAGGACTTTCTGGAGCTTGCCAGATATACCTGGAAGCTTGGCGTTTGTGCGAGTGCCGTTCCCACAAGTGCCTCCCTCTCTCCATCCTCCCCCTCACTGTCAGAACACATGGCCTGCAACCCAGGGGGGATCAGATTGGTTAGAGAGGAAAAGCTCATCATGGGGGAGCAGTATGGGAGTGCAGTGCCCACACTAGCGTCTCCAGCGATGTGACTTGTGAATCGACTCAAAAGTCACCTCGAGAGAAAAACGCAGTAGGGGAGCAGTATGGGAGTCCAGTGTCCACATAAGCGTCTCCAGAGATCACGCTGAGGCGATGTGGGAGTGAGTTCTAAGCACAATGTACCACTGCCGTCCCCCCAGCGAGGTTGCACTCAACCCACAGTGTGGGTCCCTGAACGTGACCCACACCACCAGTAACAAAGACACACTATACACTGCTACTGAGAAGTGGCACTATGCACAATGCAAGTCGCGCTGAGAAGACGTCAGAGTGAGCGCCAGAGCCCACTGTGCAGCAGTGGCCCATCGCCATTTCGCAGCTTCTCGAATCATCTTCCTCTCGTCCGCTGCTGCCCGCCCTGCCAGCTCGTCCTCCTCCAGAGCCACCTCTCCCAGCGCCACACTGCCACTTAGAAGCACGCACCTGCAAATCCCTCTGAGACGAGGTGAGGGTGAGCGCCAGAGCCCACTGAGCAGCAGTGGCCCGTCGCCACTTGGCAGCTTTCCTCGCCATCTTCCTCTCCTCCGCCGCTGCCCTCCCCACCAGCTCGTCCTCAAGAGCCACCTCTTGGGCACCTACCCACCTCTAGAGTACCCACCTGTAAATCCCGCTGCGATGACGTGAGCGTAAGAGCCAGAGCCCACTGCGCTGGAGTGGGCCAGTGCCATTTCGCAGCTTCCCTCGCCATCTTCCTCTCCTCTGCTGCTGCCCGCCCCTCCAGCTCGTCCTCTAGAACCACCTCCCCCAGCGCCACACTGCTGTTAAGAAACAAGCTTACCGCTCTAACAAGTACCAGCTCACACGCACCTGCAGATCTCTCTGGGAGGAAGTGAGTGTGAGCGCCAGAGCCCACTGTGCTGCGGTGGCCCATCGCCACTTGGCAGCTTCCCTCGCCATCTTCTTCTCCTCCGCCGCTGCCCGCCCTGCCAGCTCGTCCTCCAGAGCCACCTCCCCCAGCGCCACACTGCGCAGATACTTGGCGGTCTGAGGGCCCGTGCTGCGCACCATGGCTGCGAACACGCTCTGCTCGTTCAGTACAAGGTTGGCTGGCGTATCGTACTCGAGTGCCTGGAAGAGGCGACAAGGGGAGAGAGGAAGAGACGAGAAGGGACAGGCACTTGGCAGCCTGGGTACCCGTGCTGCGCACCATGGCTGCGAACACACTGTTCTCATTCAGCACCAGGTTGGCTGGCGTGTCGTACTCGAGTGCCTGGGAGGGAAGAAGGGGGAGAGGACAAGAGAATCAATAGGCAAAGGCACGCATACGGGACGCTAGACCCTCTTTACAACTGGCCATGCCAGCATCCATCACGAGGATCTGTCGCTATCCATGATGATCATGGATGGTGCCATGGCATTCAGCCTGTGAGCAATGATCAGCATGGCGCACGTACAAGGTCTGGGCCTCGTATTATCAACTCACCATGCCAACACCCATGACCAGAATGCAGTCACTATCCAAGATGGTGCTCAGCCTGTGCGCGATCGTCAGCATCGTGCGCCCCTCATAATACCACCCCTCCACGTCCCACCCCCCAACTCCTCTCAACCCCTGTGGTCACCCCGCCCACTCACCATGCATGCCCGCATTCACGACGAGAATCTTGTCGCTGCATCCATAGGGATGGGGTGGTTCAGCCTGTGCGCGATAGCCTGCTATGCCTGGGCCCCAACCAGCCCCACCCCGCCCACTCACCATGCCAGCATCCATGACCAGAATGCGATCGCTGTCCATGATGGTGTTCAGCCTGTGAGTGAGGGTCAGGGTCGTGCGCCCCTCTCTTATCCCCTCTTCCCTTGTTACCCCGTCTCTGAAACCCCGCCCACTCACCATGCCAGCATCCATGACCAGAATGCGATCACTGTCCATGATGGTGTTCAGCCTGTGGGCAATAGTCAGCATCGTGCGCCCCTTGAACTCCTCCCTCACTGTCCGTTGGATCAGCGCATCTGTGCCCACATCAACGGCTGCCGTCGCTTCGTCCAGCACCAGAATGCGTGACTCCTTTAAGAGGGCCCGAGCCAGGCTGATGAGCTGGCGCTGCCCCACACTGAAGTTCTCACCTCCCTCTGCCACCTGTGAAAGTGAAAAGGGGAAGAAGAGTCGGGGCAGGGCAGCACCAGAATGCATGACTCCTTTAACAAGGCACGAGCGAGCCAGGCCGGTCAGCTAGCACTGCACCACACTGAAGTTCTCACCTCCCTCTGCCACCTGCGAAAATGGAAGGGAAGCGGAGAGGGGGGAAGGGCAGCACGGGAATGCGTGAATCCTTCAGCCCGGCGCAAGCCACGCTGATGAGTTGCAACTGCACCAACAAATTCTCTCCGCTCTCTGCCACCTGCAGGAGTGCGAGGGAGGGAGGGAGGGAGGGAAGGAGAGCACGAAGGTGAACTCCTTCAATAGGGGTTTTACAAGAGAAGGCTGACAGCTGGCGCTAATTTCTCCCTTCCTTCTGCCATGTGGCAGGGAGTCTAACGACGCAATGCCATCGATTCGATGCCCCAGATGTTGTAAATATATATATATATATATATATATATATATATATATGTGTGTGTGTACAACATGCATGCCTAGATCAGGAGGAGTAGTCATTATATTTATCGGGGGGCTGTTGGTTGGGTTGACCAACCCCACATTTGGGTTGGTCAAGATTGGATTTGGTCCTAGACATTTGGTTGGCACTATTCCAACCAAATGGTCCTAAGAACCAACCAATCCCCAAGCACCACACTTTGTGGTTGCTTGCCTTCCAAGCAACCTCTCCCATTGGTTCACATTGTGGCCAATAGGAGAGCTTCCCTTTCACCTCTTCCTTGCTCCTTGTTTGTACAATAGAGATTCTTGGCTCCTTACTCAATTATTCTATTCTCCTCAAAGCTAGTTCCTTCACCAGATACCACCTCCCCTCAGGTGACACCTCAATACTGCCACCTCCCTCAGGTGCGCCCTGCCTTGAGGTGCCACCCTTATTCCCACGCACCTCCGTATCCAGCCCCAAAGGCATGCGAGACACCCTTTTTCTTCGGTGGCATCTCGGTATAACTACTTCCCTCCCTCAAGTAATACCTTCCCTAACACTCACCTCCGTATCCAACCCCAGGGGCATGCGGGATACCACCTCCCTCAGGTGCGCCCTGCCCAGCGCCTCCCACACCTCGTTGTCGCTGCGCTCGTTGAACGGATCCAGGTTGAAACGGAGGGTGCCTGGAGGAGGATGAGAGGTGGGGGGTAGGAAAAGCAGCCATGGGAAACGGCCCTCCGCAGTGCCTCCCACACCTCCGGACACGGAGCTCGTTGAATGTATGATGTATCCAGGTTGAAACAGAGGGTGCCTGGAAAAGGAAGGAGATGGAAGGAAAGGGTGCGTCTGACAATCGCAGGTACAGAGTGCCTCCCCAGCGCCTCCCACACCTCGTTGACGCGGCGCTCATTGAACGGATGCAGGGTGAAACAGATTGTGCCTGGGAGTGGGAGAGTTGGGTGAACGAGGGAGGGGGGATGTGAGGGGAACAGGAAGGGAGGGGGAGGAAATGGAAGGGAGTTGAAGGACAGTTTTGAGGCGCCTCAAAAATGGAAGGGAGTTGAAGGAGCCACTAAGTGCAGAAAAGAGCAGTTCGGCCACCACTCCAACAGCTCCTGCATTCAACAGGTTTCGCAGACTCCTAGAAGTAGCCATTCTCACCAGTGAACGACACACGCGTGCGAGGTATAATTCCGAGTGCACGACCGCTAAACACTACCTCACCGTCTATGGAAAAACCTTGCAGCTAAACCCTATTATCACGAGTCTAGACGATCCAGGTCTCACTCTTGCTCACCAGTGAACAGAACAGGTGTCTGCGGAATGATCATGAGAGCACGGCGCACGTCCGTCACCCCAAAAAGCTTCAGATCCTGGCCGTCAATGCAGATGCGGCCGCTCTCAATCTCGACCAATCGGAAGAGCGAGTTAAACAGGGACGATTTGCCTGCAGTGAAGAGATAATGCATCCGCGTTGAAAAGGGTGGGCCGTCAGGTCGAGTAAGTAGCAGCAGGATGAAGAGACGATGCAACCGCGTTGAAATACAAGTGGGTGGGAGAATGCGGTGGGGGTTGAGAAGAGTGTTTTTGAGAATACTCAAAAGACACGAAGAGAGTGTGCATCAGAAAGAGGCTAGTCAGAGGGTCTTTTGGGTGACTACACAGTGGCTCGTGAGCTGGATATCAGTCAACTAAGCCTGAATTTTGAGTCAAGTTGGGACTAGAAAGTATGCGTGGTATGAAGGTACATATTCTCGCCTGCCCCAGTCTGCCCCATCACCCCCACCTTCTCTCCGCCGTGCACCAGCGCGCTCAGGCCCCTCAGCATGGCAAATGTGGATGGTCCACAATAGGTAATGTGGATGGTACATTATGGGTGGCATGAACGCAAGGTACCAATCTCACCTACCCCAGTCAGCCCCACCACCCCGACCTTCTCCCCCCCCTGCACCAGCTAGCTCAGGCCCCTCTGCACAGGCACAAGAAGTGTGGATGGAGTGGTAGTGGGTGATGTATGTGCTACAGTATGGGTGGCACAAGTACAAGTAAAGAGCCTCACCTGCGCCTGTGCGCCCCACCACCCCGACCTTCTCCCCGCCCTGCACCAGCGCGCTCAGGCCCCTCAGCACGGGCGGCAGATCGGGCCTGTACCGCATCACCACGTCCTCAAATGACACCTCCCCCTGCTTCGGCCACCCGGGTGGCGGGCGGTGGCTGGGAATGATGGCGGGCGCTTCGGGGGGGATGTCGGCGTAACTGCCGACTCTCTCAACCGCATTGAAGGAATTCTCTGCAGGGAAACGAGAGTGGAAGAAAGGGAACGAGAGGGAGGGGGGGGAAAGGAATGTCGGCATAACTGCCGACTCTTTCAACCGCATTGAAGGAATTCTCTGGATCGGGGGAGGAGAGGGGGAGGGAAGGGAGGGGATGGGAGGAGAGGCATGATGAGGGTTTCGGGGCGAGGGAGGAGAGGGGGGGGGAGGATGGGGGGATGCTGGTATAAATGCCTACCCTCTCGACTGTGGATGGAGAAGGAAGGAAGGAGGAGAGCGAACTGAGGGCTCTCTATGCTGCTCCCACATCATTGAGCTACATCTTTCAAACGCAGTTAGAGGGGATGTTGGATCTGTTGGATTTGAATGAGCCACAAGACAGCTCCACATCCAGCCGGCTGCTACGAGGGCGGAAATGCAGCAAGCTAAGGCGACAGCATTGGGGGCTGAGAGAGGACGAGACAGAAGGGCGTCTGTTGCGCCAGCGTCGTCCCCTGCATGGCATGCCGTGCCATGCCATGAGGTGCACATGTGGCTCAGCTCGAGCAGCACCCATGGTCATCATGGGTGTGATGTGCGTTGCGTCTGAGCACCTACTGCCTACTGTGACCCATGATGACCATGGATGACCATGATAGCGGCACACCAGCAGCACTTGCAGCGGCACTCACCGGCGACTGAGAGCAGCCTGAGCACCATGGTCATCATGGCTGTGATCTGCAGCGCGTACGACAGAATGAGCCCCATGACGGGCGCTAGGGCCGCCTGGTCGCCCGCCCTCTGCACGTCCATCACTGCGAACACTGCCGTGGCTGGTGGTGGTCAGGGGGTGCAATGTGGTGGGGTCAGGTGGAAGAGGATAGAAGGGGGTGAGGTGCTAAATATGCCTGGTTGCCCGCCCTCTGCATGTCCATCACTGCAAATACTGCCGTCGCCGGTGGTGGGGGAGGTGTGCTGTGATGGGAAAGGTGCATTGGGGGGTGGCGTCAGGTGCAATGCGGTTGGGTGCACTGGGACAAAGGAAGGTGCTTTGCAGCGACGCGAGATGCCACGTGTTGCGATGCGATGCAGGAAACAAACGAACACAGCTGAACGTGGGGGAGGTGAAAATGAAAGGAAGGGCAGAGAGAGGGGAGAGGGAAGGAAGGATAGGGACAGTACAGGGAAGAGAGGTTCATGTGAGGTGTTACCTCACGTCAGGTAACGCGGGATCTTCGGCCACTCACCGAAGATCATCAGTCCGCCCAAAAACTCCAGCCGAATAGCAAGCCAGCGATTAGCGCTCATGCTGACCAGCGTGAAGCGTGTGTTGCGGTCCACAGCCCACCCGTTCATGGCTGCCATGCGCGGTGCCGCCCTGTATGCTCTGATGGTCGCCAGCCCGTTCAGTGCCTCCGCAAACTGGCGAAGGCAGGGGTCAGAGAGAGAGGGCGAGACAGGGCGAGACATGCACAGTAAGAGGGTTGGTCCACGGCCCGCCCATTCATCGATGCCATGCGCGGCGCTGCCATGTATGCGCGGATGGTGCCCAGCCCGTTCAGTGCCTCGGCGAACTGGCAGAGATTGGGGGCGGGCGGGTGGAGGGGGGTGGGTTGGGGTGTGGTCTACGGCCCGCCCGTTCATGCGCAGTGCTGCCCCATCATGAACCAGCCTGGCTGAACTAGCCTGCGCAGTGCTGCCCTGCATGCAGGAATGGTTGCAACTCGCCAGCCTGTTGAGAGCCTCGGTAAACTGGTGGGGGAGAATAGAATGGGCAGAACGGAAGGGGCGGGTTCCAGGTTTGCAGCGAGCATAGACGGACACCGCAGTGACGGATAAGAGAGAGGAGAGGGTCTTCTAGAAAACGGGGGGGGGGGGGGGGGAGGGGGAGGGGAGGAAAGAACCAAAGCACGGGATAAGATAGGAGGAGAGGGAGGGCTTTTGAGACGCCTCGAAAGAGGGAGGGCATTGGAGGCGCCTCGAAAGAGGGAGGGCTTTTGAGGCGCCTCGAAAGAGGGATGGGAGGACATGGTCGCGCAAGCACCTGGGAGTAGACTGGCGATCAAGTAACGGAGTCCCAGCACTTGACCTCGCGGGCGGTGTTTTGGAAGTAGAGATAGACGATGCAGAAGAGCAGCAGCAGCGGCACCATGGCCCAGAGCCGTATCTATGCAAGGGCCATTTGACAGAGAGGGGGAGACAGAGCCAACACACACGCACCTGGGAGTATACTGGAGAGCGGGTGACGGAGTCCCAGCGCTTGACTTCCCTTGCAGTGTTTTGGAAGTAGAGGTAGACGACGTAGAAGAGCAGCAGCAGCGGCACGATGGCCCAGAGGGCGACGGTGTTGAGGACGCCGATGAGGGCGAAGGTGGAGAGCAGCTGGAAGATGCCGCCCAGGCACAGCGACGTGTACTGTGCTAGGTTCTTGTCAATGTCTGCCGTGTCCTTAGTGAATCGGTTTATGAGGCGACCGACCTGAAGACATGATAGGAGGCAGTGAGCAGAGGGAAAGGAAAGGGGGGAAAGGGAAGGAGGGGCAATGGTTGGTTTTAAGTCCCCACAAGAGGCGCTGTGGCTGGCAGCCCCCTCAAGGGAGGCACGACAATGGCCCACAGGGCGATGGTGTTGTGCAGGCCGATGAGGGTGAAGGTGGAGAGCAGCTGGAAGATGCCGCCCAGGCAGAGAGAAGTGTACTGCGCAAGGTTCTTGTCTATGTCCGCCGTATCCTTAGTGAACCTGTTGATAAGGCGACCAACCTGATGGGGAGGGAGGGGGGAAAGAGGGAGGGGCTGGGGGGGTTGGGGCAGGCGAGGGGGTGGTGCGCTAGGTTCTTGTCGATGACTGCCGTATCCTTAATGAACTGGTTTATAAGGCGACCAACCTGGAAAACCGATGGAGGGGCCAGAAGAGGGAGGTGGGAGGTGGGGAAAGGGAAGGGGCAGGGTTGGACTGAGTGTATCCAGTTAAGGCATGACGGCCCACCACGCCACATGTTGAGCTTGCCCATGAGGACAAAGGCGGCCGTCCTGCTCTTAGTGAATCAATTTATAAGGCGACTGACCTGTTCAGTTTATGGATGAGTAGATATACATCCACGTCGCTAGATTTACGTACGTATATATGTATGTATGTATGTATGTATGTATGTATGTATGTATGTATGTATGTATGTATGTATGTATGTATGTATGTATGTATGTATGTATGTATGTATGTATGTATGTATGTATGTATGTATGTATGTATGTATGTATGTATGTATGTATGTATGTATGTATGTATGTATGTATGTATGTATGTATGCATGCATGCATGTATGTATGCATGCATGTATGTATGCATGCATGTGTGTGTGTATGCATGTATGTATGAATGTATGTATGCATGTACATATGCATGTATGTATGCATGCATGACATGTATTTATTTATGAGTAGGACAAACAAGTTACTACGATATAGAAAAAACGACATGTACGACCAGCATGAAGTGATGAAGCAAACACTGAGTAAATTAAAATACGAATTTACAACAATATAGGAAATTATGACTCACGGGGTTGGTGTGGAAGAAGGACATGGGCGCGCGAAGAATTGCCGCCAGCATGGCATCGTGAAGACGGCGAGCCGCCCGCTGGGAGGAAAACACCTGGAAGGTGCGGGAGGTGAGGAGAAAAAAGGAAGAAGCGAAACGAGCAATGAACCAGATAAAGCGTCATTGAGCACCGTTGAAAGCAAGGCCCCATATAAAAGACAAAAAACAAAAACAAAAAACAAAAACAGAAACAAAAAACACAAAAAAAAAAACACAAAAAACACCAGAAAAAAAAAAAAAAAAAAAAAAAACAAACAAACAAAAACAAAAACAACCACAACAACAACAACAAAACCAATCAACCAGTACGCAGTGTGCCATTCCTAACCAGCACGTACCAGGAAGTACTGGTTGGCGAAGGTGAGCATGACTTGGCCCAGCGAGATGAGCGAATACCCCCCACGAAATACAGCTACCCACCCATGGCTTCTCCCACCGCCTTCACCCTCCTTTGACACGGACCCCGTCCAGATGCTGATCCTCACACTTGCCAGCACTCTGGCAGCCTCTACAAGCATGTAGAGCAGGATGAGCACTGTGCCCACCCACACAAGCACTTACCAGGACGTACTGGTTGGTAAAGGTGAGCATGATGACCTGGCCCAGCGAGATGAGTGGATAGCACACACTGAGAGCCCCCTAACAGAAAATGGCCAGCCCCCCCCCTAACAGAAGATGGCCAATCGCTAACCAGCACTTACCAGGAAGTACTGGTTGGCGAAGGTGAGCATGACTTGACCCAGGGAGATGAGGGAATACACCGCCACGAAATACACGCTGCTGCTGGCACCACTCCCTCCTCCCTCACCCTCCTTTGACACGGACCCCGTCCAGATGCTGATCCACACGCTGGCCAGCACTCTTGCAGCCTCCACGAGCACGTAGAGCGAGATGAGCACCGCGAGGATGCTCGGGCCCCCCATGGCACGCACGTACCGCCATACTACTGCTGGGCTCACCACCCCCCGCTCCCTCTCCTCCGTCTGCACTAGCTTCGTGCCTGCCTTCACCCCTCCTACTGCTCCTCCTTTCTTCCCCTCGCTGCTCCCACCAGCAGCAGCAGTAGCACCATCCGCACTGCTGCTGCTGGTGCTACCAGCAGTAGCAGCAGCCGCTGCCGCTTCTGCGTTGGTCTCACTGCCACTGCTGCCAACATCCCCTGCTTTCTCGTCTCCCCCACCCCCCACCTCCCCCTCCCCATGGTCCTCCAGAGCCCCTGCTTTTTCCAGCAGCCGCTGAAATTTGGGCGCGGAGGACCTGAGCTGGTCGTAGGGGCCCTGCTCTGCTATGCGCCCGTTCTCCACCATCACCACCCAGTCAACGGCTGCGATGGGAGGGAGGGAGAGGGGGCGAGAGGGACAGAGAGGAAGAGATACATGGTATGAGGCGGTCGTAGGCCCCTCCTCCCCCCTCCCCCCCCACCTCCCCCTCCCCATGCTCCTCCAGCGCCCCTGCTTTCGCCAGCAGCCGCTGGAACTTGGGCGCGGAGGACCTGAGCTGGTCGTAGGGGCCCTGCTCTGCTATGCGGCCGCTTTCCACCATCACCACCCAGTCAACGGCTGCGCTTGAAAGGGAGGCGGTTAGGGGGAAAGAGATAGGGGAGAGGGATGAAGAGAGAGCAGGGGGGAGGGGATAGAGGGCCTGAGCTGATCGTAGGGGCCCTGCTCTGCTATGCGGCCGTCTTCCACCATCACCACCCACCCAGTCAACAGCTGCAATGAGAGGGAGGGGTAGTGGGCGACAGAGAGGGTGGGGAACAGATACACGATTTGAGCTGGCCGCTGGGTCCCTGCTCTGCTATGCACCCACCCGCCCTCCACCATCACCACCCAGTGAACAGCTGCAATGAGAGAGGCCAGGGGGAGAGAGCGTGGGAAATCATTCGAAGTGCATGTCCAGTGCATTCTAAGTAAAACATTATTAACTAGATGGAAGAATCCGGAAAAAAAACGGCTTACCTGGTAGGAAGTGCAGCTGGTTTGTGACCATGATGCGAGTGCGGCCAGCAAGCTCCGTCCTCACACAGGTGTCATACACCTGCATGTATTCATGGAGACACGGGAGACACACATGCCCACCCAAGGGGCACGCACATGCACGCACACACAGAGACATGCATACATGCCATGCAGAGATGAAAGGGGCGCATACACCTATACTCAGAAGCACAAATGAGCATCCAATATCCTCAATCAATGCAACAGAAATACGCCCACCTGCTGGGCAATGTGTGCTTCGAGGGCTGAGAGTGGGTCGTCAATGAGAAGGCACCGGCGTTCGAATAGACCACTCTGACGATGCTTCTGCCCCCCACTCATGTTCAGTCGCCCCAATTATACACACGCATTTAAACACCCACCTGCTTGGCGACGTGCGCGTCTAAGGCTGAGAGCGGGTCGTCGAAGAAGAAGACATCAGCGTTGGAGTAGACTGCTCTCGCGATGCTGATGCGCTGCTTCTGGCCCCCACTCACGTTCACGCCCCTCTCGCCGATCTCCGTCAGGTCCCCTCCTGACATTTAGCAGAGAGGAGGAGGGAGGGGAGTGGAGGAGGGAGTAATGAGGAATGAGGAGGTGCTGCTGATGCTGATGCGCCACTTCTTGGCCCCACTCATATTCACACGCCTCTCTCCTATCTCCGTGATATAAGGTTGGTTTTGAGACGTCTCAAAACCAACCTTATATCACGGTGCTTCTTGGCCCCACTCACGTTCACACGCCTCTCTCCTATCTCCGTTAAGTCCCCCACCCCCCTCCAAGAGGTGCGGGGAGGCGCGGGGCAGATGCATCCCCTCCTAGAGGGATGCATATGAGGGGATGGCGCGGGGCAGGAAAGGCGTGAGAGGTATCGATGGTAATGAAATGCTCCTGCCCCCACTCCATTCACCCCCCTCTAGCCTATCTCCGCTAGGTCCCCTCCTGGTGCCATGCAAAGCGGAACCAAGAGGGGAGGAGAGGAATCAAGAGGGTGCGCGGCGCCAAGAGGAACTATTTGTGCAAAGTCGCTGCTTCAGCCCCCCCCCCCCCACTCACGTTCACACCTCACCTCGTGCCGTCAACTCCCCACATCGCAGCAGCTGCAGGCTACGAGTATGCTTGAAAGACAGCTCCTCGTTTCGACAAAATATTGGGGGGGGGGGGAAAAAAAAAAAAAAAAAAAAAAAAAAACCCTTCTCACCTGGCAGCAACGCACTGGCACTGCCTACCTGGCATGAGAGTCGTACCACCTCCCCACCTGCCCTTTTCTTCCCCTCACCTGGCAGCAGCTCCAGGTCTCTTTCCAGCTATACACACCTGGCAGCAGCTCCAGGTCTCTTTCCAGCTATACACACCTGGCAGCAGCTCCAGGTCTCTTTCGAGGGCGCTGACTTGAACTGCCCGCTCGTACCGCTGCCGGTCGTAGGGCAGCCCGAAAAGAATGTTGTCGCGCACTGTGGCATTGAAGATCCAGGAGACCTGTGAGCCACATGGCATGATTGGAGGAGAGAAACCAGAGCAGGGCAGGTAGCATAGGGAAGATTACGAATGGCTCGGAAAATAGGCCGATGAAGCATATCTAGGTTGCACTTGTATCGAAGAATTGGAAGAGCGTAAACAACGCTGATGAGTGAAGGAAATAAGTAGACTGCTTAGAATGCCTGATTGGAGCACCAGAGGCAGGAAAACCTCTTTGGTGTAGGTGCATACCTGTGAGACATAAGCCACGCGGCCTCTAATGATTGGCGGAGAGTCGCCAGACACCATGGGCATCTCGCCCAGCAGCGCACTGACCAGCGACGACTTGCCTTGACCTGCAAGCAGCGGGGTAGGTAGGTAGGGTAGGGGGATTGAGGGAGTGACGCCAAGGGAAGGGATGGAGTCATGGAAGAGGGGAGTGGCAAAGAGGACGATCAGCGTGTCCCCTCCATGCACACAGGCATCACATCTCGCCCAGCAGCACGCTTCTGCCCGGCAGAGACTTGTCTTGCCCTGGCGGATGGGTGAGGGGGAGGTTGTGGAGATACGATACGATACGATACGATACGATACGATACGATAACGATAACGATACTACGATACGATAATGAAGGCGAGTGGTTAAGGCGCCCTGATTGGCTGAGCCGCCCTGATTGGCTGAGGCGTCCTGATTGGCTGAGGCGCCTTGATTGGCTGAGGCGCCCAGATTGGCTGAGGCGCCCAGATTGGCTGAGGCGTCTTGATTGGCTGAGGCGCCTTGATTGGCCTTGGCCAGCAAGGACTGCCTCGGCTTGAGAAACTGGCAGTTCGTTCCTGATTATCTGGAGAACGGCCTTTGACTGGCACCGACTGCCTCGACTTCATGGCTAACACGTGCTCTCCTACCGCCCTCTCTCTTGCTTCGATAGGTTTTTGAGAATTCCAAAGAACCTGGCACAGACTACCTCGACTTGACTTGATGGCCAACACATGCTCTCCAAGCACCCCCTCTCTTGCTTCCCCCCAAAAACCCTCATTACCCATCCACCTCTACATGCCTCTCCGGGCTCTCCCTTGTCCCCATTCACCCTTCAACCCCTTTCCTTGCACTACCTGTGAACCCACATTTAACCCCCACCACCACTGTGCCTAAAACGCCCAATAAGGTGCTTTTGAGCCGACTTAAAAAGCCCCCAGCACTGTACCTGTAGCACCGACAACAGCCACCAGCTTCCCAGGCTCCACCGATAGAGTCACATCCGTTAGTGTGCCGCTCTGCTTCCCTTCCCCTCCGCTTCCAACCTTCTCCTTGCCATCTCCCACTCCTGCTGCTCCTCCTACTCCCCCTGCTCCTCCCCCTCCCCCAGCACCAGCACCAGCACCAGCACCAGGCGCATTAGCAGCAGGGGTAGCACCGTTGGCAGCAGCAGAGGGAGCAGCGCCCCAGGCGAAGGAGGCGTGGGAGACCTCGACTGCAGGCTTGGAGGGGTCGATGGCAGGCGCAGGGGCGTCGATGTCCGTCTCGTCTGCTAGCAGCATCTCCTGGAGACGAGTGAGAGACACGTTCACGTTCACCACCTGAAAATGGGAGAGAAGAGGGGAGAGACACGCCTTGTGTGGGGGAGGGAGAAGACGAGAGCTAGCTAGCGAGGGTAACAGTGTCATTTTCGTCTCATTGTAACCTCTTTTGACGACAAGGGAAGAGAAGTGCACATGCACCACTCGCGTTGTCGTCAGAAGAGGTTTGCACCACTCTTCACCCACTGAGAAACCGGGTGGGGCAGCAGCAACCTTCCGAGCTCCCAAGACGACGCAAAAAAGGGGCCTTCCTTAGTCAAGAGGGCAGGTGCTTACCTAATTTGCAAAATTAGCAGTTGGAAATGTGAAGATAACACACGTACAGAGTTTAGAGTTCAAGGTGTAGACTCGATGATAGGGTTACGCACTGACCTTAGGGATAAGGCTACACACTCACTTGGGTGATGAGGTTGGGGAACATGTAGAGGGGAAAGCGCAGCACAGCGAAGAGGGAGATAGAGGTGAGGGGGGCACTTACTGAGTGACCCGGTTACAAAGTTACCGAGTGAACACACTAAACAATCACTTGAGTGATACAAAGTTACCAAGTGAACATGCTCCGCACTCACTTGAGTGATGAGATTAAGGACTCACTTGGGTGATGAGGTTGGGGAACATGTAGAGGGGAAAGCGCAGCACAGCGAAGAGGGAGATGGAGGTGAAGGCCTTGGCTGCCGTGAGCTGGTGGCCCAGCAGCGAGTAGCAGCCGAAGGAGACTACTGTCACCAGCACCGGTACCACACTCATCAGCAGAAAGTTGATCTGAGGAGGGAGGGGGTGGGGTGATGCGGAGGGAGAGGGGAAGAGGAAGATGGAGGTGAAGACCTTGGCCGCTGTGAGCTGGTGGCCCAGCAGCGAGCAGCAGCCGAAGGAGACTACTGTCACCAGCACCGGTACCACACTCATCAGCAGAAAGTTGATCTGAGGGGGGGGCGGGGGGATGGGGAGAGATGCAGCACAGCGACGAGGGAGTCAGAGGTGAAGGCCGTGGCTGCTGTGTGGTGTTGGCTTAAGAGCAAGTAGCAGCCGAAGGAGACGATTGTCACCAGCACCGGCACCACACTCATCAGCAGAAATTTGATCTGAGGAGAGGCGGGGGGGAGCGGGGTTGAGAAGGAGAAGAGTGACGAGGGAGAGAGAGTGCGCACCACACTCATCAGCAGAGGGTGGATCTGAGGAGAGTTCAGGGTTGACAGGAAGTAAAAAACGTTCGCAGTTGTTAAGCAATCAAAATAAAAGAAGCTTTGTCAAGCGGGGCAGAACTCATTCTGCCATCTGCCATCTCGTCCGCTCTCACCCGCGCCACCTTGTAATGTGGCATCAGCCAATGACATGCTTCACAGATGAAAAATTGCGCATGAAGCATGCACCCATCACAGAACAGCACCCACCGCCATGATGTACTGCGCCTTGGAGATCTGCCCCATCTCGTCGCGTCGCACCCGAGCCACCTTGTAATATGGCACCAATGACATGCACCATAGGTGATAAATGATGCAATAAACATGCACGCAGCACCCACCGCCATGATGTACTGCGCCTTGGAGATCTGCCCCATCTCGTCGCCTCTGACTCGCGCCACCTTGCCCTGGAAGCTTTCCTCCCACGTGTACGACTTCACCACGTCCATCGCCGCCAATACTTCACTCATCAGGGCCACACGCTTGTCACTCCTCTGCAGGGATGCCTTGACTAGCTTCTGCACTCTATTCACGATCACTGCCTGTTGTGGGGGCGGAGGGGGAAGAGGGGAGAGGAGAGAGAGGGAGGCAAAAGCTCTCCTCCCACCCACGTGTGCGACTTCACCACGTCCATCGCTGCCAGCACCTCGCTCATCAGCACAACCCTCTTGTCGCTCCGCTGGAGGGACGCCTTGATTAGCTTGTGCACTCTGTTGACTATCACTTCCTGTGATGAAGGAGGGGGGAGGGGAGGGTGGGGTGGGCAGCAGCACAAGGCAGGCCAGCACAGGCGGCATTCCTAGCTGCTGGCAGCGCAAAAAGCTGCAGACGAGAAGAGGCTCAGGCAGGACAGAGGCTCGATCCTAACAAAGGCTCTGGCCGAACAGGCTGCTACAGTGTTATAGACAGCATATGCAAGCCCAAGACAGACCTGTGCAGGGATCATGAGTAGCAGCATGAGGAGGCCAAGGAGCGAGGCCACTCCCAGCTGCTGGTAGAGCAGAAAGATGCAGACGAGGATGCGCAGCGGGGCGGACCAGAGCCCGTGTAGCTGCTGGCATATCTGATAGGATGGGAGGGGGAGAAAGTGAGGGGAGGGGGGAGGGCAGAAGAGTAAAATGCACGCGATGAAAGGGAGAGGGGCGGACCAGAGGCTGTGCAGCTGCTGGCATATCCGACCCGATGAGAGGGAGACGAAGGGAGGGGGGCAGTCAAAAACGGTGGCAAAGAGAGCCAAAGGGGACGAAAACGAGAACAGCTCGGATATAAGTTAGCAGGTGGCAGGGCAGCATGTGTTACGGTACAAGGTGGAAGGGGGACGGAGGGGGGGGGGGAATCCATCCTGGCGGTAACAGAAAACCTCTTCTTGCAGCATTTAATCATATGCCATTGCATAGGATTCTTGAGATGACTTTTGAGTCGACTCAAAAGTCAATAACAGAAAACCTTTTCTTGCAGCATTTAATCATCTGACATTGCATAGGATTCCATAGCATGCCGTGCTATACAATGCCAAACCACAGCACACCGTGCCATCTGCAGCGACTCAGCAACGTTGGTTATCCATGTTAGTGACTCGCCCTGTGCTGAATCCGAGTGAATACAATCCAGCTTTCACACTTTCACACTGACTGACATACCATGCCACACCACACCGCACCACACCACACCACAACATACCATCTGCAGCGACTCAGCGTCATTAGTCATCATGTTGGTGATTCGCCCCGTGCTGAATCCCTGCCTCCCACTGTGGCTCAGCCGCAGTGACTTGCTGAACACAGCTGCCACCTGCAGGCGGGAGAGAAAAGGGAGAACCAGACAGCAGGGGAAAAGGGGCAGGAGCAGGGGGGATAAAGACAGGACCTAGTGACACACTGTCGGCCCCCCTGCCTCAACCTCACCTCAGTGACTTGCTGAAGTCGTCTGGCTGCCACCTGATCGTAGAGCACCAGAGGAGAGGGGGGTTAGGGAAGGGATGGGGAGGGAGAGGGACAAGGAGCAACGCGAGGGCCGGGAGAGCAGAGAGAGATAAACGCTGCTCTAATGCTTGTTGTCTTGCTGAATACAGCTGCCACCTGGCCACGAAATAGGGGATTAGGGATACAAGCATGAGAGAGATTAAGTGACAGAGGGATTGTCATAGAGAGAGCATCAAAATGGGTAACAAACCCGCAGTGTACACTATTTTTACAAGGGCGCCTGGAGAAAAAAGACCAGCATAAAATGGCCAGTCGCAGCTGGAAGTCAAGTCATGCAATAACCCAACCACACCGCACCACACCGTACCATAGCCTGTCGCAGCTGAAAGCCAACGCGCATGACAGCCTGGAAGTACTGCGCCTCGCAGATGACTCCGCCCACCTGGTGTGGTGGGATTCGGTATGGGAGGGTAAAAAGGATATGAAACGATTTCTTTAAACGCCTGTCATGTCATTTACTCGAACAAGCATGACACGTCGGAAATACTCCGCCCACTTAATGTGACATTGGGATAGAGGGCTGCTGTAATAATATCCGGGGGAAATCATGGGGTGTGATGTAAGTCTCCCAAGCCTGAGAGTGGTGCGCATGACAGATGGCTCAGCATCTGACAGGTGCCCAGACGCATAAAAGAGTACCAGCCCAAGGAAGATGATAGCCGCGTAGAGGTAGCCGTGCCAAGCCCGCTCGTCTGACCGCTGCGATTGGAAATCTACATTAGACAACGCGTTGGCAGCACATCAAAGAGCCGCATACCAGGCAGGCAGCAGCATACCAGCCCAAAAAACAATCGTCATGTAGAGATAGCCGTGCCAAGCCCGCTCGTCCGACTGCATGGCTGACAAGCGGTTGAGCATACAGGATAGCATACTGACATCCAAACAGCGCCATTCTAGGCAGCAGCATACCAGCCCAAGGAAGATGACGGTCGCGTAGACGTAGCCGTGCCACGCCGGCTCGTCTGACTGCATGGCTGACAGCAGGCGGTTGAGCATCAGCGGCCCCACGAACTGAGAGGCATCGTTGCCGATCTGATGGGGGACGTGCAGATAGGCAGAGGGATGGGGATGGGGATGGGGATGGGGAAGGGGAAGAGAGCGGAAAGGAGGAGAGCAGGTATGATGCAGTTGATAAAGCAACAGCGGCCCCACGAACTGAGAGGCATCATTGCCGATCTGATGGGGGGGATGCAGGAGGCACATGGGTGGGGACGGGGATGGGGATGGGGATTGGGATCGGGATGGGGACGGGGATGGGGATGGGGATGGGGATGGGGATGGGGATGGGGATGGGGATGGGGATGGGGATGGGGATGGGGATGGGGATGGGGATGGGGATGGGGTTGGGGATGGGGATGGGGATGGGGATGGGGACAGAAAAGTGAAGGGGATGGGGTGGCAGGTATGAGAGCACTCCAACGTCCAGAAAAACGGATGAGGGTATACATCTTGGAAGAAAGGCATACAGAGGGTGCCTTTCAACAGAGAAATCTTTCATCTTAGAGTTCAACGTATCTTTCATCTTAGAGTTCAACGTTCAAATCAAAGTGTAGTTGCTCGAACAGTCAATGCTCAGGTGGAAAACGCCAACATGCAGGAGGAAAGGGAGAGGCATACCTTGCAGAAACCACCCCACCAGAACCTGTCAAGGACATAAGGTTTGGGAGGATGGCGGGCAGGGCGGGCGGGGGATTGGGGGGGGGGGAGATGGGGAAAGAATCGCGAGATGATGTGTTGATGCACAAATCAACAGCAGCAGCACCATTGAGTTGGTGCAGCAAGCGTGAGGAGTCTGTTTTTGAGGCGCCTCAAAAAAAGAAAGAAACGCGAGATGATGTGTTGGTGCACAAATCAACAGCAGCAGCTCCATTGAGTTGGTGCAGCAAGCGCGTGTGTCAGGTGTGCGATAATGGTGCTGCTGCTCTGCACTCAAAGCGCTGGGCAGGGCTGCCATACATATCGACAATGCATGCACACCCATAAGGCCCCTCTGTAAAGCCCCTCCGTCCGTCTGTCCCTCCATTCATCTGTCTACATCCCTCCCCCCCCCCAATCCCCCCCCCCCTTCCCTCCTTCACCTCTCCTTCCATTCCTCCCTTCCCTTCCTCGCGGCCTTGCTATTGCCATCCATCCCCCACCCCCCTCTCCACTCCTCTCTCATCTGTGGCCAAAGCAGGCATACAGAGCGCGGGAGGCCATGGCCCTCCCTCCTCCCACTCCCTCCCCTCCCTCCCTCCCTCCTCCACCCCCCCCCCCCCCTCTCCCCTCACCTGCGGCCAAAGCAGGAGTGCAGGGCACGCAGCAGCCATGGCTTGGGCCGCCCCTTCTCCTCTCTCCACTCACGCTCAAACCTGCCCGGGGGGAGGTAAAAAAGGGGGTGGAGAGGTGAGAGAGGGCAGGCGTGTGGGTGGAAACAACAGCAGCAATGGCTTGGGGGGCGCCCCTTCTCCTCCCGCCACTCGCGCTCAAACCTGCACGGGGGGAGGCGAGAAGGGAGCGGAGAGGTGAGAGAGGGTAGGCGTGTGGGTGGCAACAGCAGCAGCAATGGCTGGGGCCGTGTCTTCTCCCCCCTCCACATGATTTTTTAGGTGCCTCATAAATCGCCTCGTGTCCATATGCGCTCAAACTGGCACGACGTGGGTTTAGGATGAAGTGGACTTGGATGGGTGGAGGCGGGTGGGAGGTAGGGAGGGTGCAGCGCAGACCACCCACGTTTTGAGAGCAGGGGTGCAGACCATCTCAGAACTAAACATTTATCAATTGGATGGGTAGAGAAGGGTGGGGAGCTGGGGGGGCAGCAGACCATCCACGTGACATGACACCCCTTCCGTAGACTGCCCCTTCCGTAGACTGCCCCTTCCGTAGACTGCCCTACACAGGTAACAGCATGCAGCCTGTATGGTAACAGCATACAGGCCCTACACGCCTCCCTAAAAATAAGCGGCAGAGCGGTCCCCATCATTCAGCCACCACATATCGAATTCCTCAAATGGACAACACCAGGTGTGCCACACCACCCATGTGTGCAACGCACCTGCCATACACAGCAGCCGTGCGGTCGCCGTCATTCAGCCGCCACACATCACTATCCTCCAAGGGGCGGCGGTACCCAGTGGCCATGAGCGGGGTCATCCACCCGAAAGTAAGGCCTGAGGGGGAGAGGGGGGCGGGGGCGGAGGCGGCGGGAGGGAGAGGGGCGGGTGGGGGGGAGATGGCGGAGGGTGGTGGTGGAGCGCCTCAAGGTACCCAGTGGCCATGAGCGGGTCATCCACCCGAAGGTGAGGCCTGGTGTGTGTGCGCGTAGGGAGGGGGGGGAAGAGATAAGGGGTTCAAGTCGAGGCCCCTCAAAGGGGCCCAGTGGCCATCAGACGGGTCATCCACCCGATGGCCTGGCCTGAAGTAGCAGGTGACGAAGGCGGGGGCGGAGGGGGCGGGGAGGGGAGGGGGCGGGGAGGAGAGGGCGGAGGGGGGGAGGTAGCGGTGAGGCCCCTCAAAGGTACCCCGTGGCTATCAGAGGAGTCATGCACCCTTATATGAGGCTTGAAAGAGGAGAGTTCGGGGAGAGAAGAAGTGGTGCGAGGGGAAAGGGGGGAGGATGGGAAAGGGCGAAAGACATACAGACCACTCAAGGTGCTGAACGTGATGTGTTGCTAACTCGAGAGAGATAAGGAAAGTGATATTGGAAGCAAAAGGGTTGCCACGAGGAGATAGCCAGCTCGAGAAATGACTCTTCGCGAGGGGGAGGGAGGGATGGGTGCTGGCTATCCAAAGAGGAGGAGGGAGGAAGGATGGGAGGGATGCGTGTAGCATCCTCTTCGGATTACAGGTTGGAGGTTTTAGGTCAAACTAAGGTCGAGTGTTGAGGAATTATGGTTCAGAGCTCACGATTGATGAAGCTCGCGTGGTCTTCAGGGCACACCTGCCCCCGGTCACCCCCTCCCTCCTCCTCCTCGCCTTCTCCCTCCGCCCCATCCACAGGACCTGCAGCCAGAGGCGCATACTCTGCCGCTCCATTCCCCACTGCTGCTGCGTGGCTAGCCGGCAGCAGGAGCGGCCCTGCCTCTGCTTCTGCGGCCGCTAGTGAGGAGGATGAGAAGCCAGGGGAGGGGTGCTCGCGAGGGAGCAGCGTGGGGAAGAAGAAGAGCGCCAGCAGGCCCAGGAGCACCTGGGATGTGCAAACGGGAAAGGGAGGGGAGGGGGGAGGTGGGGAGGGGGGCGGGGGGAGAGGCAGAAAGGCCCTGAGGCCCTGAGGGTGCTCGCGAGAGAGCAGCTTGGGGAAGAAGAAGAGCGCAAGCATTCCCAGGAGCACCTGGGGAGGTGCGCGCAAGGGGCGACGCAGATGTGGGCGAAAGGGGGGGAGGTGGGAGGGAAGGGCGTGGGTCCGTGGGATCACGGAGGAGGCTTGGAGGGCTGCTCGTGAGGGGGCAGCTTGGGAGTGGCATGGGAAGAGAGGACGAGGAGGAGAAAGAGAACGATTTGTAGCCTTCTGGTGGTGCTTTGTTGGAAATCGTGATCGGAGGAGAGACGCTACTCTTTTCAACTGCCATGAACCTACGTGACGGGCGGGAAGGCGGGCGGGCAATGTGCAGTGCATGTACGGCGCGAACTTGAGTAAGAGCTGCGGTGTACTTGACTTACATGCGCTGACGTGTAACCGAAGAACAGCTCCACAAAGAAACTGGTAACATTTGAGACTACTCAAAACTGCGGTGTCCGAGCTGCGGTGTACGAGCTGCGGTGTACGAGCTGCGGTGTACGAGCTGCGGTGTACGAGCTGCAGTGTACGAGCTGCGGTGTACTTGACTTACATGCGCTGACGTGTAACCGAAGAACAGCTCCACAAAGAAACTGAAACGAACAGGGGGGGGGAGGATGCAGGAGGGATGGACGTATTGGCCCGAGAAGACTAGAAGGAGATACAAGATGAGAGGGGCTGTGGAAAGGTCTCGCCTAGGGTAGTAGCTGAAGACACGAGAGTGGTTTTGGGGTGGGAACATGATAAGTCGTGAACTCGAGGAATTTCAAATGTTGAGCATGATGACGTGTGGTGTTCCACCTACTAAACCCCTTATACCCTCCTGCATACCTACCGGCCCGAAACCCCAGTGTATAGTGTGCGCCCAAATCAGCCACATGCCAATCCCCTTCAGACGCACTAGGCAAACTGCACTAGAACACTCACGTCTGGAAGTCGTTCTGCAGAATGAGCACGAATCTCAGCTTCGCCAGCTGCCCCACCATCACATACATACAGCACTGCAGCCGCAGCCTGCCCCCACCCACCTCACCACCCATCACATACAGCACCGCAAACCGCAGCAGCCACGCGCCCTTGACCGCCATGCGCTGCCGCTCCCAGAAGAGGGCGGTTGAGGTGAGGGTCCAGGCGAGGAAGGAGAGGATCAGGGAGCAGACCTGTTGTGGCATGGATGGGGGGGGAGGCGGCACGCCACGCCCTTGACCGCCAGCGCTCCGTCCCAGAAGAGGGCGGTTGAGGTGAGGGTCCAGGCGAGGAAGGAGAGGATTAAGGAGCAGACCTGTTGTGGTGCATGGGATTCGGGGGGGAAGGCGGGAGGGGGAGGGAGGGGGACAGTGGGCGTGCTTGATACACGACACACATTCACCCTTGACCGCCACGCGCCTTCGCTTCCAGATGAGAGCCGTGGGGTGAGGGGGTTATGAGGCGCCTCAAAACTGACCTACTTAACCACGCTTCCAGATGAGAGGCCGGCGGTGGATGGACACAAGACAGAGAAGATGCGGAGTTGCGACAAGACGGATGGGATGCGGCCTTGGGAGATGCAGATACGGGAGGCGGATTTCAGGAATGTCTGAAAGTTCCAGACTGAAACCACTGGGCGTGACTGCTCCTGCAAGAAAAGGGCGGCGAAGATTACGGTCCAGCCGAGAGAGGATAGCACCAGGGAGAAGATCGGGCGCCGATCACGGAACAGAGGAAGAGGGGGGAGCCCGCGGAACAGGGAGCGGGATGACCGAAAGGAAAAGCAGTGACGACGCGCACCTCAAAAGGCGTGTCTTACCTCAAAAGGCGTGTCTTACCTCAAAAGGCGTGTCTCATCTCAAAAGGCGTGTCTTACCTCAAAAGGCGTGTCTTACCTCAAAAGGCGTGTCTTACCTCAAAAGGCGTGTCTTACCTCAAAAGGCGGGTCTTACCTCAAAAGGCGGGTCTTACCTCAAAAGGCGTGTCTTACCTCAAAAGGCGTGTCTTACCTCAAAAGGCGTGTCTTACTACCACAAAAGGCGTGTCTTACCTCAGAAGGCGTGTCTTACCTCATAAGGCGGAAGATCCACGTCCTTAGAGAACGAGCTCAGTGACACGCGAGCACTCAGCTGCATCAGCGGGACCACCGCGCACGTCATCGCCAGCGCAGCAGCCACCACAATCCCGCGCTGCCCGCGCCACCCGGGCGCAACCACCCGCTGCTGCGAGCGCGGCGTACTGTACAGAACATACAACCGCAGTACGGCCAGGAGAATCATAGCGAGGTACGCTGTACCGAGTACAACAATGTCGATGAAGCAGGGGGTGAAAGCGCCCAGCTCGTTGGTGATCGACTCCCAAGAACCGTTGAACTGCGGCCGGCAGAACGAGTCCACAAACTCCGGAGGCGGCGCCGGCGGCGGCGCGGGCGGCCCGAGAATCGCGGAGGAGAGGGTGGGGAAGGGAGACAAGGACGCGGAAGAGGAAGGGTCGGAGAAATTGCCGCGCGAGACTGCGTTGATTGCGGCTGCCGCCGCGTCGGTTGCGACCTCTGCTGAGAAATTGGCGGCGTAAGTCGCGGCAGAAGAAGCGGCGGAGGTCGCGGCGGCGAGGAAGGAGGTGGCATTGGAGGTGGATGGATCGAGGGAGAGAAAGGAGGCGAAACCACCGCCGCCGCCGCCGGTGCCATCATGATGATGATGATGCAGGGAATCGAAAGGCGGAAGCGACGCTGCTGCTGACAGGCCGCCGATGCCGCCGGTCACGCCGGTTGCTGGGGTTGCATGTTGAGGATTGGAGAGCCAGGGGAAGAAAAGCGAGGGGTACGGAAGAGTGGAGGGGGTCAGACGGTCCATGGCGACCCGAATAGCCGCTGAACGTGGCGGCTATACGTGGAAGAGGAAAACCGCAACAATTCCGTTGCTTCCTACTGACTGTGACCAGATCTGAGTGCCTCTGCATACTGGTAGCAAGACGGAATGAATGACAGTGTAACCACAGAAGTGAGTATGATCGGAGGGACCCTTCGCTCCCATTGTCCGAATGTTTACCTCTACCTCTCATCACATGTTTTGAAACGCACAAAATCACTATGTATCGCGTTGTACCTGACCTCCGGTCCGGTCCTCCCATCGTCTCGATTTCTACTTGCCACACGCCCTTAGGGCGTGTAACCTACGGTTTCGGAACTGAGTTCCGTCCGAGTTTTGGTGTGGTGATAAATTTCGCTAAACCTTTTGCGAAGGATTCTTCAGTCGTGAAACTCGAAGTCCAGCGACGTCCGTACGCCAGTTCGAACGGTCGTCCGGACGGCCGTTCGAGAATCTCCCTCCAGTTCTGTGCGAAAGAACACGCGAGGTCTTCGGGGGGAAATGACACCAAGTCAACGATCGAATTTGCTCGCGCGCCTGAACCGCCAAACGCGGAAGTGACAAAACAAAATGTGTGCTGCGAGATTCGTCAAGCCTAGCGTGTGAATGGCTTGCTGAGGGATTGGGTGTCGTTTCTTCGCATATTACTTTTCGCACGTCGTTCAAATGTTTGAACGATGGAACATCCAGTTTCGAAACTCGATGTTCCGCTGACGGACAGCAATCATAGTTGAGTTTCGAAACTCGATGTTCTAACGACGAGCGGAACTCGCCCATATCGAGTTCGGAACTGAGTTCCGGAACTTGGCCGATCAACCGTAGGCTACACGCCCTAAGGAGGAGAGAAATTCTGCATGAGGGAGCAATGCTGTAGAAGTGAGGGAGAAAAGGTGGCCCGACCCAACCCCAAAATGCGCGAAGAGACAGAGGGAAGGGACAGCAGGAAGGGAAAACGTTGGTAATGCGGGATACCCCCAGTGATTGTTATAACCAGTCTCTGTTTTCAGGGTAATGTTTACCGAAAGGGCAGAAATGGGGGGGGGGGTGGGGGGTAAACACAATATCTGGAAACACAGGTACCTTTTCCATTGCCATCCCTTCCTCCAGACCACCCTCCAATTCCCACGCTCCACGTTAATGCTCGTAACCATCATCTGCTCCCGCTTGAATGCTTCTTTCCTTGATGTTTACGCTCCAGCCCAACGATTATCCAGTTCTCGGATTTCTAACGCAGACAATTCGAAATGCATTAGGGCACCTCTAGTTTGGACCTTCAGGCAGAGCAAACTGTCCTTCTCAGCACGCAAGGATCTGCACAGTGTGCCCAAAAATAGTCAAGTGCCGAAGGTGACCAGTGACCAGCGGCCACCATCATGAGTGGCAAGTCATCCCTTCTCCCATGATGACCATCCCATGATCCCATCTCATCACCAGGGGCCCACAATGGACGACAGCCGAATCCGAGATGAACACATGGCACTAAACAGTTCATTCGCTGCACGCCATTGGATGATCCTAAACGGCGTGATGTCAGCATGCTGCGCAAAGAAAATTCCCCGAAAATGGTACAGCTGCGCAAGTCCTGCCAATCTCGATCCTCCACCATAGAGAGCCCCGCTGAGCTTTACGTGTTTGGTCTGTTTGCCCACTCCCGATCAACCTTACCCAGCTTATCCTGAGAAGGATTATGCAATCTTCAAAATCGTGTTGTTGCCTATTTACCACTTGTGCGCTCTCAGTTTCTTGCTCAAGATGGTCACTTAGAGCGACAGACGTGTTGCACTGCTTTGTATACCCTATTGCATGACATACATGCAGGGCTGGCATTCGGCAAAATATCCTTGCTTGTCTCATGACCCAACCTCTGTTTCGAACTTGTTGCATCCCCTGCCATGCATCATGGAGCTTGGTCACAGACCCGCATGTCAACATATATTTGTATACGTAATACGCTAGATAGGTGCATGCTCATAGAGATTACAACACCTTAGGACAAAACCACCATGTATCACTCATTCTAGCTAATTCATTACTCTAAGATGGTATGATGCGCTAGGTCAGGTCCTCCCCGCCCACCCGCGCTTCCGCTCTAGTCCTAGTCCTATCCCTAGCCGCCCATTGCCGGCCACCCATAGCCCCGCGCCCGTCGGCCCTCGCTCGCAAGACCAGCGCCCGCTAGCCCCGAGTTCGCTGGTCCCTCGCTCGCTAGCCCCGCGCCCGCCAGCCCCACTCTCGCTGGCCCCGCGCTCGCCAGCCCCGCGCTTGCTGGTCCCGCGCCTGCCGGCTCCGTACTCGCTGGCCCCGCGCTCGCCGGACCCACGCTCGCCGGCCCCTAGCTCGCCGGCCCCGAGCTTGCCAGCCCCTTACTCCGCCGGCCCAAGCTCCGCCGGCCCCAGCTTCGTCGGCCCCAGCCAGCGCCGCCCGCGCGCCGTCGAGCCGCCGAGCCACCGCGCCGCCGAGCCGCAGTGCCGCCGTGACGCCGTGTAGCTGAGCCGCCGAGCTGCTCTGCCGCCCCGATTTGCCGGCCTTGGCTCCCCTCTGAGCCGGCGCTCTCGCCGGCTATCTCAACCGCTCTCCACCACACTCCACCGCTCTCCACTGTACTCCTCTGCTCTCCATCGCTCTCCACCGCTCTCCACTGCCCTCCGCCGCTTTCCTCCCCGTCCAGCGGCAATCAGCTGCTGCGGCCGTGGTGATGTATTCCGCCTGGACGCGGAGGATCATGCGGTTCATTTTTAGGCATGGCTCGTCGACCTCCGCCGCCAGCTGAGCGGTCAGCGCCAGGACGGCTACTCCCTGGCCGTCCATGTCGACGGTAAGCTCCCCTGCCCCGCAGCGCCTACTGACTCCCTGACGCCCCCACGTCTACTGAGCGTGAGGCCTTTGCCGCTGTTGAGCTTGCCCGCGCTGTCTAGGAGTCGCGCGACACAGTCGCACATCTTGCCATTAGTTACGCCGTCCCCCTGTCTGAGCGCCCCCTCTTAACCGCTGTAGAGAATGCGAAGGAGTACTTAGATGTGGTCGTTGCGTGCTACTCCACTCCCTCCTCCGCCTCTGTCGGCCGCCTGATCCTCCCCATGCTATTCCCTGATCTTACTTCCTTCCCCACTATCGCTGACCTTGTCACTCTCCGCGCACTTGAAACTAGCTACCGCGCTGCTAGAACTGAGGCACAGCTCACTGCATTCCCACCGCTGCTTTGCGCTACCCTTTACCTCCCTGCCACGCGCCTTCCTGGCCACCTTATCACTTCCCGCGACCACTTCCTTAGCCAGCACCCAGGTGACCTCACCCTTACCGCCTTTGTGACCGCCCTGTCCGCGATAGAGACCCGCCAGCGCACCATCGCTCAATCTAACGGTATTGCAGCGGTCGCTAACTTCCAGGGCGGACGTTTCTGCCACAGTCATTGAGACAACCCCTGCTGCTGAGACCACCACCGCGGCCTCCGCGCAGCCATGTCAGGGTAAGGGCCGCCGCCCCAAGGGGGGGCAGGGCCCGATGGAAAGGTGGCGGGGGTGGTGGGGGTGGCGGAGGTGGTGGAGTTGGGGGCGGGGATGGTGGTATAGACGAGGGGGCTGGGGCTAATGCCCTGGAGCAGCAGCAGCTGCAGCAGCCGCCATGGGAACCCCCGCCACCATGGTGGCCTGGCAGCGCCGGTGGTGGTCATCGAGGTTGCTGGCCGCGCAGCTCGGTGTCGGGAGGCGGCTCTAGTGTGGTCACCTGCCCGTACCAGCTTCAGTCCGACCCCAGCCGCGGCACGGTCTGTGACCGCCCCGATCATACTGCCACCCGCTGCTACCGCTGCCTCGACGACCTCTTCCGTCTTCGCTTCGGCTCCACGTTGGACCCCCTCGACTGGTACAGCCTAGTGCATCGCCGTGTGCCTGTCTTTGAGCTTGACATGGATCAGATTAGGTCTGCTATGTATGTCTCGTATGCTGATGAATGTAGTGTGATTGGACCCTATTACCCGGTGTTGCCTAGTGTAGGTGTGTCCACTGTGTGTAGCCTAGGTTTTCCTGCTGCGTCAGGCATAGGACCACCTGCCTTGTTTAGCCTTGGCTCCACTCTATCTCCTCCACTTGCTGCCGCTACTGCCATGCTCTCATTCAAGCTAGACTCTAATGCTTCTGTCTGCTTCTTTCGCGACCACATTGTACTTATGCCGCTTGCCGCCCCTGCAGTTGTAGCCCTTGCTGACCCCTCCTTAGATCTGGTAGTTGCCCGTAGCTCCACTACCCTTCCCTGTTCCGCGATTCCCTCGAGCTCTCTTACAAGCTTGCATATCTCCTCGTTCTCTAGGAACCTAGTTGGTGCCGGCTGTCTTTAGGACCTCGGCGTCACCACTACGTTTCCTGGACACGAGCGGTACGCAGTCTGTACCAAGGTCGCCACTGGTGCCCCTCTCACCACATTCCCCCGGGACCCGGTGTCTGGCTTATTTACGCTAGACACCGCGTCCCCTTTGGTGGGAGCGTCCCCCCAGGTGGCCGCGCCCTCCCAGGTTTCTGCGGCTTGCTCGTGTAGGTTACTCACCTACCCGTCGCTTTTGTGGCAGCACTGCCTAGGTCACCCCGCACTCCCGCGTCTGGATCACATGTCCCATCACGATCTTGTCTTAGGTCTCCAGGCGTCGCTCCCTACCCTCCCTCCCTCCCCCGCACCGCCGTGCACGCCCTGCATTGAGAGAAGACTGCGCAATGCTCCTCACTCCTCCTCGTTGCCCACCACCATTGTGCCACTCCAGACCCTGCACTTGGACGTTTGGGGCCCAGCCCCCATCCCTGGGCCGCATCGAGAGCGCTACTTTCTAGTGCTCGTCGACGACTACACGTGCTACACCACGGTGTTTCCCATGGAGCGGAAGGCCGACGTGCTTGGCATTCCTATCCCGAGGGTCGTAGCTGCGTGAGTCCACGGCGGCCTGCCAGTGCTTTGTCTCCACTCCGACCGCAACGGCGAGTTCGCCTCCGGTCGGCTTGGCCAGTTCTGCCATGCGGAGGAAATCACCCAGTCGTACACCCTGCAAGACTCCCTGCAGCAGAATGGGGTCGCTAAGTGACGCATCGGTTTGGTTATGGAGGTGGCTCGTACCTCCATGATCCATGCTGGTGAACCCCATTT